CACTTGTAGGTTTGAACTGCAGACCTTCTGGTTAGCAGCCGAGTGCTCTAGTCAGTGCGCTACCAGGGCTCCAAGAAAACCCTCCGGGGCATTTCTTCTTTGTTGCCTGGCGTCGCTATGAGTCAAAATCAACTCAGTGGCGCCTAACAACAACAACAGAAGGTTACACCAGGATATCCAAATTCCCCCAGCCAAACGAAGGCACAGGAAGCACACGGTCACGCAAACCTGGTTTAAAACCCTGGCTTCTGTGGGCTTCTGTTTTACGTCATCTTCTCAGTCTACTCGCCTACTGCTGACCCAGTTAGAATCTCCTAGCGTTCCCTGTTTCCAAATTTTCACTGCGTCCTGGACATTGGGGTTTGCGTGGTCGATGTTCCATTGTTGGTTTTACAAACAAGACTAATTTTACAGGTGCCCTGGTAGCTAAGCGAACAGCCCTGCAGTCAGCTGTGGCCCCACGGGGAGCTCCCCTTATTCCAAACTTTACTATTCAGACTCTCAGCCAAGCTCTCTGACTAGTTCCCAGACCGCTCTGTGATAAGGACCCTATGGGAGGGCCACACTGAAATCATGTTTCCTTATCCTTTTTTCCTTTCTCACCAATGTGTTTATCTTATAGCACAAAATTATAAACTAATTTTATACAGAAAGCATACATTATGGAATTAATGTTAACGCATACTACGTTAAATTCAACCGATATAACTTGTTGTGACTTTAAATCGTCTTGTCTCCACAGGTTGTTTCTGTAAGAAAATAGACCAGTGCTTCCCAAACGGCATACAAATCACCTGGGGATCTTGTTAAAATGCAGATCCTAATTCAGTAGGCTGGGGTGGGGCCTGAGATTCTCTAGGTCTAATGAGTTCTGGGGAATGCCGATATTGCTGGTCTTCCGGCCATATTTTGAGTAGCAAGGATATGTGTGTAAGTGTATATACATACAAATATAAACATATGTGTTGTTGTTAGTTGCTGTCGAGTTGAATCTGACTCATGGTGACCCCATGTGTGCAGAGCAGAACTGCTCCAAAGGGTTTTCAAGGCTGTGAGTTTTTGGAAGCAGATTGCCAGGCCTGTCTTCCAAGGCACGTCTGGAAGGGTTTGAACTTTTGACTAGCAGTTGAGTGCTTAACCATTTGCACCACCCAAGGACTCCTAAATATATGTGTACATGTGTGTATATATGTATGGGTGTGTATCTGTGTATGTATGTGTGCATATTATATATGTGTGTGTGTATTTATATTTGCTTTTGAAGACTCACCCCACCAAGAAAATTGTAGTTCTTCTTAATTCACCAATTTGAGCATTAAAACAATTATTCACAAAATGTAAGATGTGTTCTTGCATTTGCTTTCTTTCATATCTCTATCTCCAACTTTTCTCTTTTCTCTGCTACCTCTTAACTCAGAGCCTTGTTTATTCCTGCCTGGGTTATTACAACAGCTTCTTAACTGCTCTTTCCTTCCACCCAGGCTTCACTTCTGCTAGATTAAGTTTATAAGAACTTCTGAAGACAGTCTTCATCACATCCTTCCCTTGCTCAGAAAGCTTCAATGAGTTCTCATTGCCCAAAGAATAAAATTTATCTTCCTTAGTAGACAGATAGTTGCCGATGAGTTGACTCCAACTCATGGTAACCTTACATATAGCAGTATGAAATGCTGCACAGTCCCGCGTCATCCTCATGATCACCAGCATGTTTGAGTCCATTGTTGCAGCTATTGTGCCAATCCATCTCCCCATGGGTCTCCCTCGCCCTCACTGGCCCTCTACTGCACCAATCATGGTATCTTTCTCCAGCAATTGATTCTTCCTGATAATGTGTCCAGAACAAGTGAGTCTGACAATGTTCTGTTGGGATCCATAAGGTTTTCATTGGCTAATTTTCAGAAGTAGATTACCAGGCCTTTCTTCCTAGTCTGTCTTAGTCTGGAAGTTCTGCTGAAACCTATCCACAATGGGTAACCCTGCTGGTATTTGAAATACCAATGGCATAGCTTCCAGCATCACAGCAACACACAAACCACCAGAGTATGACAAATTGACAGATGGCTTCCTTAGTAAGAGACCCTAATTTTCTTTTCCAGTACTTCTTCTCTATATAAACTACTGGCTCCACCTGAAAACAGTAGCCTTGCTTCTCTCCTCAGCCTTTCCTTTCCCTGGCTAGACTGTCATCTCACCTATTCCACCAACTGAAAGCATTATTGTTTTCGAGCCTGAGTCCAAATTATTCTGTGTGTAAAGCCTGTCCATAAGGATTACTCATGGTTCTGAAATCCTAACACACTTATTGACTGCCCATGTCATATGGGACTGCCCCCATCCTATCTCATCCTGAGCTAGCTATGTAAATATATTAGCTATAGTGGAAACTTCTAGAGGGCAGGGGCCCTAACTTATCCCTTTCTATATCACCTTCGCAGGTCTGTATCACCAGTGTTATAAACATGGGTGGACAACATATTGATGGGTTAAGAGCAAGAGTTTTGAAGCCAGCTGCCCCAGATGTACCTGGGGTTGGGCCCAGGCCCCACTGCCTACTAGCCATATGACTTTGGGCCAGGGCTTCCAGCCGGTTTGGGACAGTTCAGTAATTGCCGACGTAAACGAGGGCAGCATATAAGTTGCATAGTGACCAAATTTGTTGCCTGTGAGATTTTTGACCCGAGTAGGAAATAAACAGCATTGCCTGCCCCGCCAACCTCGCTGCTTTGAATGTGTGTCGCTCTCCACACTCCTGCCAATAATCCAATCTCCTGCATCAGCCTCCTGAAACTTTCAGGCCACCATCTCTGAGTAGGGCACTCCTGTTTGTTTCCCTATTTGGGTAAAATCCCACAGGCAACAGATTTGGTTGCTATGCAACATGTACGCTGCCCTCATTTAAACCGGCAATTACTGAACCTTAGGAACCAGCTCGAAGCCCTGCTTGGGGAAGTTGTTTAACTGCTCACCCTTTCCCACATCTGGAAAACATGGATGATAATACTTAGGCTGGTCTGAGAGTTAAATGAGAATATGAAGTATATGAAGTGCTAAGCACAAACCATGAAATAAATGGAGGTTTTGTTATTAGTAGTATCAGCAGCAGCAGCATAGCAAGTACATAATAAACATTTGTTAAATGAATGTACAGATAATTAAGTGGTGCCCAACTGAAATCTTTTATGCCACAATTAAAAGACCAGTGGAGTAGGAAAGTTATTCACATTATCATCCTTCAAATACTTAATATCAATCCTGCCTTGAATTTCCTTTTCTTAAAATGTTGTCGTAGGTATTACTTTCCAATCCCTTCAGCAGTTTTACACACCCTTTAGAATCAATCTATATCCTTGATTTTTTTCTTTGAGTCATGGGGAGAGTAGTAAGGATTCATGTTATAGATGACTTGACCCCCTAACAGTTGCAACCAGCATTCTTTCAGTCTACTCACAACCCAGCTTGACAGGTTCAGAGTGTATTAGCCTAAGTGATATTATCCTATTTAATCGTGTATCACCACTCACCATACAGTACATACTGAATAAATATTAAGTAAAAAAAAATAAAAACAGAAAAATTCAATTGCTGTTGAGTCAATCCTGACTAATGGCAACCCCATGTGTGTCAGAGTAGAACTGTGCTCAATAGGGTGTTCAATGGCTGATTTTTTCAAAGTATATTTCCAGGCCTTTTTTTCTGAGGCTCCTCTGGGTGGGCTCGAACCTCCAACTTTTTGGTTAGCAGTTGAACTCATTAACTGTTTGCACCACTCAGAGGCTCCAATTATTTTAGATAATTATGTTTGTTTCATGTTTTCTTATCTAAAAAAAAAAAGGAACTATTGTATTTCTGGTTATGGCCTGGACATGAATATCAATATTGCTTTTTTTCAGTCACCATCATAGAGAAACCCTTTAAAAAAACTATGAAAAGAATGCAGACATAGGACAGTTTCGTTCTGATTCCATGCACCGTAGTTATAAGTGTAAACAGGGACCATGAAAGCCTTCCTCTCCTGCCCCCGTTCCAGCCCCTAACAGAGCAAGTTCCAAAGCTCCGAAGGAGCAAGTTCACCCTCCCAACCCACAGATAAGGAACAGATAGTCACTGGAACCTGGAATGCATTCCCTTATCTTCTTTATCTACCCAAATCCTGTCTTTATAATCGCCTCCACGTGTTTTTTCTCTTTGCAGACTCCCCCCTCCCCCACCATTTCCTTTGCCATGCGCCTGTTGATGGCTGGAGTCCCACTTGAAGCCTTCTAGGAGTCTAACAAGTACTTTAGTATTTTCTCTAATTGTTTCCTCTGTCTTTGTCTGCTCCCCTAAAAAGATTTTTAGAAAAGGCTTTTTAGGGGAAATCTTCTGTAGAACTGTGACTTGTGGGAAATGAAGTAGAATGCCAAGTGACGTTTGAAACCACACACTCACGTGACTCTCACCAACTTCACTGAGAGCTGCGAATGTGAGCTCGGCTTCAGGAGGCCAGGGAGCACATTTTACACTTCTTTATTATACTTCATCCAGTCATTCAACAGACATCTATAAGGTTCTTACTAGGCGCCAGGTACTGTGTTAGGCACCAGTGCAACAATGCTGAACTTGATACACATGCTCCCTGCCCTCGTAGGGTTTATTATGGTGGGGGAGACAGACAAGGAGATGCTCGGTAAACACATTTTATCTGTTGGGCGCACTAAAGAGCAAAAGTAAAGTCTGTTTCATCACAGTTTAATCCAACCCACATTTATGTGCCAGGCCACCATGGACCAGGCTCTGTGCTAGAACTTGGATACAAAGATAAACCAAACACAGGCTCTGCACTTAAGAATTTGTATAATCTGCATTTCTGTTACGTAATAAACTCCACTTTGATCTGTGTTTGGGGAAAAGAAAAGCGTTCTTTTCTAGGTACCTTAACCATGATCTCAAGGGTGTGCTGTATGTATTTACTGACACTCCATCAAATGAAGTCTACAGGGAAAGTAAATGAAATACGAACCAAAGGCACGAGTCTCTGGAGTGGAGTGGCTTCCTGTGCCTCATAGAGATAGAAATTCAAAGGAGCAAAGAAGTAGCCAGGGGCTGGCTCTGTGCAGCTGCGGCCAGTGATGTGGGGGCGACATTCCCACTGCTCATCTCCCGGGGAGCACCTGAGGGAAAAAAATCCATTATGAAAAAAGGCAGGAGGTAGGGGGGCAAGTATGAAATGAAGGGTGGGGCTGCTGGGCTAAACGCCCCCTGAGGTTGGACCAATTCTTTGAATGCTCAATCAATAGCCCTGTAAGAGGATGCTTTGAGGCCATGAGCACAACATGTCTTGTCTTGAAAAGCGAATTCAGATCTTTGGAACAAGGTAGCCACTTCTTTCCTCAGCAGCTCTCTGACTCTGCTCTAAAAACTGGGGAAGGGAGACGGCAGGGCCTCTCCTTATAGGACGGCAACAAGTTGGTGTACTTTGTAGGTAAAGTCACACATTTTCAGGCATCTCCACACCACTTCAGTATCTCTGGGTAGTACACATGGCTACCACAGTTGGCTGCTAACTGGAAGGTTGGAGGTTTGAGTTTACCCAGAGGCACCTTGGAAGAAAGGCCTGGTGATCTACTTGTGAAAAATCAGCCACTGAAAATCCTATGGAGCACAGTTCCACTCATGGGGAGTCGTGAATCGGAGTTGACTTAATGGCAACTACTTTTTTTTACACACCACTTCATGAGATATCCAGGCAGTTGGACTGTTTACCTCACCCTTGGAAATTGCTGAAGTAAAATAAAAAATCTGGGTTGTAGGTACTGTCTCTAGATCATTGCTTATCAATGTTTTTTGTATGTCATGGAATAGAATCCTTCACCTATGACTAAGAGCAAATCAGAATAAAATGTGCTTTTACGTGCAAACGTGAGTGAGGAGCATTTCCACACTTTATCATTCATTTTACTGACTTACATATTAGAATAAGCACCTCCAATGTCACAGTCACAGGGAGAACATCCATGGAGATGATTTCCCAGTCCCCAGTATCCCACCTACAAAGAGAACATGTTCAGTTGATTCTATCTATGAAGATGTTTGCTTTTCTGAAGTATAATGTTAAAATCACTACAACTGAGGAGGCGGGGCCAAGATGGCAGAGCATTCAGATGCTTCCTGTTGACCCTCTTACAACAAAGACCCAAAAAAACAAGTGAATCGATTATACATGGCAATCTGGGAGCCGTGAACATCAAAGGCAGAGTTGAGGAACCGGACTGAGTGGCAGGGGCCAGGACAGACGGTTTGGAAGCAGCGAGGTGTTGCCAGACCTGACCTGGCGAGAGCCTGATCAGCTCGGGGGTGAGCGGTGAGGCAGGCAAGCAGCAGTGCTCAGGAGGCACTTTTTCTGCACCGGGGGAGACCCAGCACCAGAGAATCTACACGGCCACCCAGATCAGTGAGAAGCGGTCCTGGATCGGCGAAAGATAACTACTTACGTACGGCATACCTGGCGGATCAAAAACACCCCCTTAGGGAAAAACCTCTCTCTCATTTACCTCCCTGCGCCCTGCTCTGCACTGGGTCCCGGACCGGCTTCAGCAATTGCCAAGTCCCCGGGCCGGAAGTAGGATTCATCACAAGCTGGGAACCATTCTCCCTGCCTTGGAGAGTGAACAAATTAACAAACAGGAAAAAATAAACTGCCAGCTCCCCTAAGCCAGGAACCCACCGTAGGCACAGCTCCTTTGCCTAGGCATAGGCATAAGGGATCCACAGACTTTGAGTGTCTTTACCCCTGCATAGACTTATGTGGGCCCATTTCAACAGCGTAGGCCCTCATTACCACTGTACAACAGGGTATATACCAGAACTCTAACTTTAACTGTTTCAGCTGTGAAGTGGCAGGTTCTTGATATTTGACACAGCTCTGCCCATTAAGCAGGGTCTTCAACTACCTACATTAGGAATCTGAGGACTGGTGGCTCCACATATGCCACCCAACCACCTGTGATGGGGGGCCCATAAATAAGAGGTGCCCCCCAGTCCTTACAGCCAAAATCACTGAGTGCTCATAGTCTGGCTTGAAAACCCACCCACCTATGTGCTCTAGGGAACAGGGACACACCTTCCTCCTGGACACTCGGGGCGGCCATCAGCCCCCCGCCTTGCTCAGAGTGTGTCTCCCTGCTGCAGCCAGATGCCTTGCCTACACCAATCACCCATGCCTGTCTAGGACTGTAAGTGAGAGCCTATACCACACGCTTGGTGGCTATCTCCCTAGGCACCAGAGCTGAATCCATACAGGAGGAGTGGGCAGACTCCTGAGCTCATGTACCTAGTAACAGATCTAACCACCTGGTGAGAGGACATTAGAGCTTCAAAGGTGCCAATAATCAAACTAGCTCATACAAGCAGCCTATTTGGGCATATCAAAACAAAACAAGAAGCTAGGTCACAGTAAGCAAACATAAAATAAATAAATATGGCTTGGAGACAACAGTCAATATCAAATCACATAAAGAGGCAATCCATGAGAGCTTCAGCAAGTTCCCAAAACAAAGAATCTAGAGATTTTCCAGAGGAGGAAAATTTCTTGGAGTTACCAGAGGCAGAATACAAAAGATTAATATACAGAACTCTTCAAGAAATTAGGAAGGAAATTAAGCAGAACGCAGAACATGCAATAGAGGAAATTAAAAAGATTAGAAAAGAGCAAAATGAGAAATTTAACAGGCTGCAAGAATCCATAGACAGACAGCAATCAGAAATCCAGAAGATTAACAATAAAATTTCAGAATTAGACAACTCAATAGAAAGTCATAGGAGCAGAATTGAGGCAATGGAAGTCAGAA